ACCCTTACAATCCACAACGATACAAAAAAAGACCTTATCAGCGCCTGTTTTTATATAATTACGACAGAACCACTTTCCAACTCTTGCTGTTAACTGAGGAACAATCCCCGACCGGCCCAAAACAGGCAACACTGACTGTAATCCGTTTAGTTGAGGTCCGTTCTTGTTTCGGTGCGAATTTTTGCTAGGACGCAAGCCGGAGAAGGTCGTCTGTTTGTTTTCACAGCCAGAATAGGAGTAATTCGATTAACACGAATTATTTCTATACAGCGTTATGATAAAGTTTGGAACAAAATATATAACTTTTATACACTCATTTTTGAAAAAACACAGGTCGATTTTATTCTCCGAAGGGGCATCTTTTAAGATGATTTAGTTGTATACACGAATACAGTGATGTAAGGTTTGATGGGTCTATCTTAAATAATAAGCGAGATATTGCGAGAAAATGGCATTTATTTCAAAACATTATTTAATGTAATTTTTCATAAAAGAAATTGTACTTGGAAACGAAACAAATGCAAATAAATAACGAAAAAAAAAACGAAAAAAGTTTGCAAGTTTAGCAATAAAAATTACGGTTCTTTTTGTTGAAACGCAGGTCACTGATAAAAATTATTAAATTTCGTTTTTTGGTCGTTGCTTAGAAACAAAAGCACCACTGTTGTAGCGTTACATTTTCACAAGTTAGTGCATTATATAACCTTAATAAGCTTCGCAAAATTATTGAATTTTTTGGAGCTTAGAATGAATTGTACACTTAACTGAAAAATGACATTAAATAATTTTTTTAAATAACTGTTAGTTTCGAAATATCTCGCTTGTTATTTGAGATAGACCCTTCAAACCTTATATCACTGTATTCGCAAGAGCAAGCTTTATCCGAATTATTGGCTGTCCAGCTTTTCTGGGTCACCCTGTGATTCAATACCCAAATTTATTAAAACTCCAGATGATGGTCTTTTTATTACAACTATGTATTTATTTTTTTATTAAAAATTTCTAATGTTAGGGTTCTTCATAATCATATATCTTATTTTTTTGCCAATTTTAACAATATCTTGAAGCGTTTTAAAAAAATATGTTTAATTCAAAGTACGAAATCCTTTTTACATTGTCGAATGTTTTTTAGTAGCTGCTATTCGCAAAATAACTCTCCGTTCTTGAATATAAAAGAACTGCTTTCGCAACCTCTAACCAAAGATAACCATTTCCATCAACAGTTCTAAACTTTTCTTACCGTTGTACACTGTTACTTCAATCGATTTTATGATAAAAAAAATGTATCAAAGTTGCCAACAATCCCTTACAAAATTGCGCCGGTTCGTTAATTACCCGAGGTTTTACGTCTTCGTCTTCTAAATTTAGATGCGGTGTAGAATAACGGTTATAAAATTTCGAGAGCTACGAGGAATAATAAAATGCTGTTTCGAGGTACCTAAGTGGGAGTTGCCAACTTGGTAAAATGTTTACATTAAATTTCGCGATAAAGGATGTTGTAAATTGATAGCGGGGATGTCTTTAATATGAGAGTATTACATTATTAATTTTATTCTTAGGAAATTAAAACTAGGGAGTAGGGAACATAATGTTTGATAACTACAAGTATGAAAATTCTTACATTTTCGAGTTTTTAAACAAGTTTATACAGTATATATAAAAACAAAAAAATGATTTTTCCAGATGAAATTTAAGAAAATCGCTGAAACGGAACAATTAGTATAAATAGAAATTGCCAATTTTCTTCAATATTTTCTATTTTTTTGAGCCATGTTTGACAGACCTATAACCCCTTACTTATTTTTTTTTTAAACTACGCTCTATATTTTATTTCAAACAATCATAATTTCTTATGTACTTTGAAAAACGCACCTCCACTGTATTAATCTTTTTCTACTTACTTTGAAACTATTTTTTCTTAAAAAAACATTGATAAACACAAAAAATTCATCAGAGTACCTTAGGTATAACGTGAATCGTTTCGTTGTTAAATTATTTTGAAAAATGGTTCCTAGTTTAAGTGAAAAACAGAGAATTGAAGGTTTAATTATTATGATTGGATACGGAGATAAAATTCGTAGTCAACAGAAGATATGTGATTTATTTCACCATAAGTATCTAAACCAGAGAATTAGTCCAGCTACAATAACTGAAGTATCCAAAGTTTGAAAAAGCCGGAAGGAAAGCGAAGAACGGTAAGCGAAAATGACGGTCAAAATGGCTAAAAAAAATAGAAAATTGAAAAGTGACAATTTCAATTTACTAATTGACCTGTTTCAGCAATTTTTTAAAATCTGAACTGGAAAAAAAATAAGAATTTTGTTCCGTTATTTTGGAAAACACTGTATAAGTACCTACTTATATCATCAAATATTTAACAAAAATTCTATAAAATGGCGAAGGCGCTAGTTTTATAAGGAAAGGTTGGGAAATCTCGAAACTGGAGATTTCGCAACCTTTCAAAAATAAATCGATTGAATCAAATATGCGTCATGCAAATGTTGCTGGTTTCAAAGATGCAGGGCGTTCAATGTTTGAATTTTATTTTGAAATTTCTCAATAATTTTGAAAATGTCAGAGTATGAACCAAAAATTGGCACTATGATTTTTGACATGACAAATAAGAATTTCGGCGTCGCTTGTATATGTCGTCAGTTATGCTTTGATAAATAGAAAAATTTTCTTGCCTTTAGAATTACGGACATTGTGTGTTGAAAATATGAAGGGATGTCCTTTGTTTCATAAAATAGTTGTTCGTTTTCGGGAAATATTTGCATATACAAATTTTAATGCATTTCGTTTTTAATCCTTAAATTTAACTAATACGACTTGACAACTAGTGTATGAGCCAATTATTTACAGTTTTCTAAAAAATAAGAGATAGTTTGTTACTATAAGGCAGACCTATGCGAAATAGGGTCACTAATGACTCTTTTTCGCTTTCTTAATGGAACCTTACAAATAAAGTCAATACACTGAGAAAATTATTATCTAATATTAAATTTAAGTAAGTAATTGTTTATTTTCTATGTAGAATAATCTTCTTCTTCTTATAATCTCACATTAAAATTATTGTAAGTTTAAAAGCAGTTAGTTTAAATTAAATGAACGAACAGTAAATCTTACACAATACAAGACTATTTAATACTAAACTTTCTGAATGGTAAATATTAAAGTATTAGGTACTGTTACATTGAAACGCATTGAAATACAAATTTATTTTACTATTAATATGCCTGTGTAGCTATTATAACATCTAAATTGAATGTATATGTTTCGAAATAGTAGATATTTTTAAACTTTTTCTATTTTAATATGGTTTCTACAGGGTGGTCCGAATTTTATGCAGGAAACTTCGAGGGTAGATAGATCTCTTTAAAATAATATGTGTTTGCCTTATAAATATAGGTCTGGAACGGCCCCGTTTTAGTGATACAGGGTGTTGAGGTTTAAAAAAAAATGATTTTTTGTTTATATCGCACACTATCTCACAGGTGGTATAGAAAGGAATGTAAATAATTTTGTTGATGTGCTTACAAAATGCTCTTACTTTTAAACAAACAAATATTCTTGTAATATTATCGTTAGAAGTGTCTGCCACAAGGGGATTGTATTGGTATGAATAACTTGAGAACGGCGAATATTAGGGAAAAAATTAAAGTCACCTTTTTTACGTATTTTGTGCATTAAAATATAAATCAGTTATAATGACATGTAAAAAATGCAGTGGCGTAGGTTTTTTTGTAAAAAAGGGGGTGACCCCTGTCCAGTTGTATACCACTGGTTGAACCTTTAAAGTTCATATTTCTGGGAATATAAGGCCCACTATCATACATTATATGTACCAAATTTTTATTGAGATCGCTTAATAGATTCCGGAGATATAAACAAAAAATCAATTTTTTTTGACAACTTCAACACCCTGTATCTCTAAAACGTTGCCGTTCCAGACCTATGTTTATAAGGCAAACACATATTATTTTAAAGAGATCTATCTGCCCTCGAAGTTTCCTGCATAAAATTCGGACCACCCTGTATATGTTAAGGTCTTGTATTTTGTACCTATTTTACTTCCGCTTAAGTCTGAACTTATGAAATGAATAGTCTATCTATAACATGACACTTCATTGATATCAAATGTGCTTGATTTTTAAAAATACTTTCTTTAATAAAAAAATTTTCCAGATGAAAGTGAGGTACGGAATAATATAGGAAATACAATTAGTTAAATATTAAATTACTATGTTAAATAATACGAAACGATATTCTTGAAATAAACGAGAAAGACTTGCAAGAAATTACTTGGTGTATTTAATTGTTATTTATGTACCAAGGGAGATACAGGGATGTTGCCTAACGGCATAATCATCCTAGTATCTCCCGTGGTGCATACAACGTTTTAATCTGATTTTATATTTATTTTAAATTTAATAATTAAATGTAAATGAGAATGAAAACAGTTTTTCAATATATAAACAATGTATCCAAGATATATCCTTAATATTCCATTTCAAATATTACGAACTCAATCAGTTACGCCTGCCAAAGCACTTTGATTAACTTAACAGTTTTTATTTCATTAATTTAGACGGTTGAAAAGTGAACGTATCTCTTATTGTAAAAGTACGAGGGTTCTCGTGTTTAATGAAACGCGATTTTACATTTGTTCCCTTTACAGATATTATCCGGAAGATCAAAAAACAGGCGTCGACCGTCAAAGATGAAATTAAAACGAAACAATTACATTAATTAACAGTCCGGACCTTTCTGATGCCGCAACATTTACACCCTCTTTTCTCTTTTCTCACCAGTTCTCAGATCAGACCGGCTGAAAAATGTTTACGTTTAATTAAATTTATGTTGGCTTAACTACGCGTTTCCGTTAATTTTCGCGAAATAACACGCGCAAGGGATGATAGAACACGTGTAGAAAAATAAATATAGGTCAACGCACGTAATACGATACAAATACAATAAACCATTTCTCTCAGTGTACTTACAGAATACAAATATGAGCACCATCCTGGCCACGTGTCTCCTGGCTCTGGCTTGAGCCACGCTCTGGGTTCCTCTGATCTCTCCTGGCATCTCGTTGGCGCTGTGGTGGAGTCGTATGGCCATCAACACGTAGAAGAAGGCGATTATGGTCAGGGGGATGAAGTAGTAGATCAGTGACTTGATTGCGATGTTGTACTGCGCGTACGTCTCGAAGTTGGTGATGTTCGGGAAGGGGGAGCAGAAAGTGATCGTCTTGTTGCTGCAATGAACGATAGAACAATTTAACACACTTTCCGTTGGTGATTTAACATTCATATATCATTAATAGATAGTGATTTAACGCAGTGTTCGCTAGTTTATATATTCTTAACGGTGCTCCATCTGGGGACACACTGTATACAGGGTAATTCACAACTTATTCAAAAAAATTTGGGAATAGATGCGGCATGAGAAATGGAATCAATTGCGTAAAGAATTTTTTCTAAAATCCTTATAGTTTCCAAGAAAAAAATTATTGAAGTTGTAGTACTTTCAACCATTACATAGCTGGACAACTGTACGTGGGCTCAGAGACTCCGAATACTGAAATACGATTTTACAGTCGTCGTTGCCATAGTGTTTACAATAGTTTTTTAGTAGTTAGCGTCATCCGAATACTGAAATACGATTTTACAGTCTTCGTTGCCATAGTGTTTACAATAGTTTTTTAGTAGTTAGCGTCAAAAATGGCTATTTATTCTTTTCCTTGCGAAATGCTTTCAAGTTTTTGTCCGTTTTTATCACTGCCGCCGTGACGGTCGCATTGTGCCAGGTCAGGTTTTACAGTGTACCAATTTCCAGTGCCGTGCGGATCATTTTGGAACTGCCCTTTTTAATATTTTTTTTTATAAAATTGTATTCGTAAGAGTCCTTTGTACATCCAGATTTTTTTTTGGATAAGTACTGAATCATCCTATATATAACGATTTCGCACATATAGACTGTTAATTATTTATATTCATAGGACGTTTATTTAAAACACTTGAAGACTACAATTCAAAAACTTAATAAATGGCTAATGAATTGACACTAGTGGTTTGGTCACAAATTCCTAATTACTTAACACCTTTAAGGTTCTGGTACCTCGGCAGTTATTACGTAAATTACTTGACTTGAAAATTGCAAATTGGAAATCACTAGTGTATTTAATCATATTTACAATTCAGTGATTTACTTTCATAATATGTTAGTAACTTAACTCCTTGTCACTAGTGACTAACTAAATGATATAAGGCTGGATACTTATTAAATCCTTATTAGTTAACATTAAGACTTTAACACTAAAGTTACCAATAAACTCCTAATGATTTATAACTTAAAAATCATTAGTGACTTAGATCATAAGGTTTCAATTACTTAGCACTTTAACGTCTACAAAACACTAGTGACTTACCATGTAAATTACGAGGGACTTAGCACAGAAGTCAGTAGTGATTTAACCCTAATAATTAATGACCTAACACTTATTAGATAAGGTGATTTAACACTCGGATCACTAGTGACTTAAAGATTGTCATCAATAACAATAATGTTATTGAACCCCTATTACTTAACAGTCACTTTACCATTACTTGAAATCTTAACACCTATAAGACACCAATGACTTATAATGTAAATCATTGGATTAAGGACTTACTAAGACTAAGACTAAGGAAATTATGTGGATAAGATAATAAATCTTTAATAAGCTAATTAGCTTATAATTTAATGTAGCATTAGCTAATAATTTAATGTTTAGCAATAATTCAGAAATAACTAGTACGCAGGTCATTAGTAACTTAGCACCCATAAATCACTAGTGTGTACGCATGTTGGTCTCTTAAGAATTATTTTCTTTAACACCAATGTTAGAATATTTTAATGAATTAAAAGGAAAATAAGTTTGTGATCAGTTGATTCGTTACTCATAAAGTATGTATTATAAATCTGGTATCAATTAGTGAATCAATAATGACAAAATGTAAATCATAAGTGACTTGACACATTTATGTTATTAGATATTTGGCACTTAAAAGTAACTAATGACTCATAATACCTGGGTTCTTCCTAATTCACTGATTGAATGTTGCTATACTAACGAGTCACTTATTTAGCACGTGAATTATTAGGGACTTAACACTCAAAAAGTTCTAGTCTTCACTTATTTAGCACGTGAGTTATTAGGGACTTAACACTCAAAAAGTTCTAGTCTACTCACTTAGAGCCTTAAAAGTAATTTTCTTTAAAATTTCAAGAATGACGAGCTTTTCTGGATGAAGCAAAATAAAAATAATCTAGTTTAATTAAATGATTAAAAGAATTTAGTCTTTAGGTTATTTTCCGAGCGCTTCAGCGAAACGGAGGTACATCATCAACGAAAATTGATCCCAAGACCTGGGGGACGCAGTTCTGAAATAAAATCCTCGATTCGAAATAGGACAAGGTGTAGGTTAATGGCAAAGTGGTGTACCTCTGCCTTGAAAACCGATATTCAAATACTGCGTTACGCTTTTACAATTAACGCTCTTGTGTAAGGGAAGATGGCGTCCTAAAACAAACTTCATTAAGCGAATTTGTAAAAGAAACACTCACGATCCGCCGCCGTTGTGACTAACGATAATATTTCCTGTGGAATTTTTGTTTGTTTGAGGACAGGTTTGCATTGGTGGTGGGCGTTCATTTTATTTGGATTTGGAATAAATGTGTACAGTTTATTTCGATTTATGTTAATGCATATTTTAGAAAGGATCCGTTTAAAAATATTTTATGTGTGTGTAAGCTTACTGTAATAAATATGAGTACTGCTACATTTCGAAGATATACATTTCCATAACTGGGACAAAATGTAGCGCGAAATTAAATGATGTGCAATATTTTAAAAAGTATTTTGTTCTGAGTACCTATACGAGCTTATTTTATTGCTGTGGCCAAATCCGGTTATTTATATTAATCTAGTTTTTATTTCGGAATTGTGCAAATAGGATCACGGATGGCGGGGATTTTTTTAAATCCACAATGTGTGTAACCATTTTTACGTACATATCGTGCCATATATAAATTAAGGAACATTTCATGTATACAGTGTATTTTGATATATACAGGGTAATTGTAAATTATCTCCCTATAATTTCAAAGATGATTACCTCACACCTAATTTTTTTAAGCTTCATCCAATTTAGCAAACTCTTCTGGAACTTTGCATTCTATTAATGCATATAGATTTTGTGATCTACTTTTTAAAATATCCCTGTAAAAAGAAACTCAGAGGAGTTAAATCCGGAGACCTAGGTGGCCATTCTATTGGTCCTCTTCGCCCTATTCATCTATCTCGAAATACGTTGTCCAAGTAGTTTCTTACCAATACGGCATAGTGTGGGGGTGCCCCATCTTGCTGAAGTCACACCATTTGTATTTAGAATTAACGGATTAAGTACGGGGAGCAAATCATCTTGCAAATATTGTAAATTTCGGAAACCTATTATTAAAAAAAGTATCCAATACAAAAGTTGTAGATCATGCAAAAATCTACAACTTTTGTATATGTCATTTTTAACATAACCTCAAAATTTCCGAGAAAAACAGTATTTTCTGATTTTTCATTTTTTATTTCTCATTTCCGCAAAAATAATTGAAAGTATACCTTTCTCTCTCTTAAATAACCTCAATTTTTTTTAGGTAAAAAAATGTTTCAGAGATATTAATATTTTTCGCCTTGAACACTTTTTTTTTCAATGAAAAATTCTGCTTGAAAAAATCATGGTACAGAGTTCTGCCGGTAATCATTTTTTTTCGTTTTGACATATACTTTTTTGGCGAAATAAAAAAAACTGTAATAACAGTTCAAAAACATGCTCAGAAATAAATAAAAAATGACTTGCAACAATGAATTTTTCAGTTATTGAGTTATTTTGAGGTTACGTTTAAAAGTGACCTCTACAAAAGTTGTAGATTTTTGCATGATCTACAACTTTTGTATAGGATACTTTTTTGTTTGACGTCAACTTTCGCCAGAAATCTCGATTATACCATTTTTCATAACTTTCAACCCCCCAAATCAACCCTCCGCCGCCCCTGCTCACGCATGTATTTTTTTTAGTTTTATTATAAGCCCTTTTACCATTTCCACTTATAAAAGTACAGGTAACAATTTTTTTTCTCCAAGTTATTAGTTATTCACAAATTAATTTATTTTTTTAAAACCCATCATTCGATTTCTTGGAAAATACGTCGTTTTCGTTAACAAATAAAGAAGTTATAGATGTTCAAAGTTGACAAAAATCCCAATTCGCACTAGTGTGACCTTTAAGATGACCCACCCCAAATGTGACCTTATATTTTTCTTATTATTATCCATGTTTCTATTATAAACTCTTTGATCAAGTTTTGAATCTCCTTATGCACAAGCTACAGAAAACTTTTCATCAAGACAAAATTAAAAATGCTTTCATCATTGCCAGATAGCAAATTTATTTTGCTTTCATGCATATTGTGCTGGATAAATGACATTTTGGGAATAATTAGTAAACTTTTGCTGTGACTAGATTGACAACAGACAATACCATTAACTATGCCGTTATGGAATCCAGCAAATTGCGTCTTTATAAAACAGGATCTTCTTTCGCAGAGCAGAGGGTCAAAGTCAAAACAGATTAGTGGGAATCCTTACTATGGAAATTTGGAAATTAAGACGTTCTGAAAGCATCGGTTCGTTACGTTTTATTGAAAACTAATCCTCAAAGGGCCATTTACTTGCCATTAAGTTCCCGTCTTCGATTGGCACCGCTCGACCGGGCTTCTGTGGATCTTTCCAACAGTAATACAGCGCTCTTCGGATCAAATAAACTATTATCAGTTATTGTTACACTGAAATACGGCCAGCAGTATTTGAAGCTTTGTTATACACGTGAATTGGACAAAGGTGAAACAAAATAGATTAAGGACATTTCTTTATTGAATTTGAATTTTAATTTTGTTGTAAATTTTAATATTATTTTGCCTGGACGTCAACAAGAACTTGTCTTGTGCAGTAACTTGGTTTAGAGCTGACTCTTCCTCAGGGTGTGTTTCATTAACTTATGTTGATATATTTTGAAGCATGAGATTTGTTTAGAAAATGAAATTTAACATTTAACAGATTGTATTGCATATTCAAATACATATTTGGACAATTTAACAAATTTTATTTTCTTAAGTACTACGTTAAATCTACTAGCTATTCGACTTTTGCTCTAGAGGGTGAAA